ACAAACACATCCATTTCTCCCTTGTGCCGTGAGTCCCCCTTAGAATCCAAAAAACCATTCTTCCATTTCCACCACTCCTCATCCATTTCCATAATCCCCCAATCCATTCAACACACCAACAACATCCCCTAGACCTTATGCTACAATAAAGAGGAAGATAAGAGGGCCTAAACGTTCATACAATTCAAGTTTGAGTTGTTGGAATGTTTAGGCGTTTCTTTGATTTCAATGTTTAATTTCAATTCTCTTTGTTTTGTACGTATGAGGAACTAAACCCCCCTTAGCTAGGGGGTGATTCGAAATATATGTTTATGCTTGCAATATGATTTGAGTACTTCTAATTACGTTTCATAAGTTGTGAATTCAATTTGTTTAACTATTTGATTGATAACCTATTTATGTATGTTTATTGAGAGTCGACGCTAATTTTCATGCATGAATTTGACGCTAGAATATAAGTGAGTTTCACGTAATAGTTATGAACTTATATTCACAAGTAGTGGAGGTTGCTTATAAACAATCGCGTTAAACATATTCTTGGCATAAGTTTCATGCAATCATAGTAACGAATGCCTCGTCAACACTTATAGTTTTCATTGAACGTAATGATCTTTGATTGTATCTTTATTATGATGTCATGTAAGGAACTTTTGAAGAATGCTTTGGGTTGTCGTATGATGTCATCCAATTCATTAACTTAAGGAAAACTTGACGGTTAATTTAAGCGGACCTAATTAACCCGGGGCGTTGAGAATTCATGATTTATTGAAAAGCAATTAGATTCGTTTTATATGCAAGTATAACATGTATGGAGATGAACCCCTTAGCTAGCCATACCATCCATTCATTTCCGTCACATTCATCTTTACAATGTATTTTGTTTCCAAGTATCCATTTTAGTTTACTTTCGTCCAAAACTCAATCCCCCTTTACTTTATTGTTCAATTTAGTTAGAAATCAATTTAGTTTGTGTTTTTAAAGTAATTTTGAGTCTTTTGGTTCGTCTTAGTGTTTTAACGTTTAGTTTCACATTCTTTGAGTCTAGTTTAGTGTTTTTTATTGTTTTTACGTTTTTGAGTTAGTTTCCAAGTGATTAACAATCCCTCCTAATCCCCGGTCCAGAACGATCCCTACTTACATCATTACTACAATTGTCAAAAAGAGGGTTTAATTTGTGCGCGTATAATTCTCGCATCATAGGGCGGATAGGGGTAGGAGTAGCCTAAATTCATTCCAAAGGAATTGAAAGAAAAAATGGGCATTCATGTCATCAGCTTCAGCTTAAGCTGGATGGAAATGAAGGGTTCCCAAAGTTTTGTACCTACTTTGCGTTTACGTAAATATATACGAAGTAGAATATAAACTGAGAAGTGAGAAATGAAGCCGCCCAACTAGGAATGAGGATCATCTTTGAATTCTTTATGAGGATTGGGAATTCTTTAATTATATATTCGTTCATCGTATATTATGTGATTAAAAATTATTATAATTTTTTTATTAAAATTAAATATAAATAGTACCTGACGAAAATTAATTGTACGATATACTATAAACAATCTTCTAAACCCTCACAAAAAAAAAAAATTCCAAAGAAAATCCTCATTTCCCAACAAGGTCCTCACCTACGCCTATAGCTACGGCAACATATATGGATATATAAGACCTAGGAGGCGGCATCAAGTGTGTGCAGGGCCTGCAGGCCACCACAGAAACGACAAAAAAAATTTAGGCATGATATGTCACGTATATTATGATGACAAATATTGTAGTATCTTGTAGTTGTGGATCCAGAATCCAAATTTTGAGGGTTCGTATTAATACAAATTTTAGATAATAATAGAACGCAAAGTGTGTTAAAAAAAAAACTAGTTTGTTCATTTGATGGGTTTATTGTGCATATATCTACAGATTTCGGCTATGCCCAAGTATTATGATAAGTGCTATAGAAATGATTTTTTAGTGTCTACAACACAATCTGTCAAAATATGCCTCATGTGGATTACATTAAACATTTAGTAAACACAAAATAAACATGTATTAAATATACAGAAAGTCCTCAAAAAACCTTCATATGTATATTTTTTGAACTCAAGTGACACTAAGGCCACTTTAACCCCTATTTCCATCCGCCTAACTTGTGTTCTGGATACATAAAAAAAAAAAAAAAAAAATCTATCAATACGAATACGTACGAACTGAACTGAATTTTGAACTAAAGAAGTGGAGCCCCACGCAAGCGTTTACTGAGCTGGAAGCCTGCTGGAACTCGAGGGTGTGTTTGTGTTTGTGTCTGTGTGGGATAAAAGATAAAGTAAAGCCGTGCATGCATTCGAGCATGAGCATGACTGCATAGCATGAGACATTGCGACAAACATGCATAATGTCAGCATGTGTATGCACGCTTATGTGTTGGTAATAAATTAATAACACAATTACCCGCCAGCTGTCTCTCTCTCTGTGCGAGGGACTCAAGTCAATGAGTCCTCACACCTCAGAGAAAAAAAAACAAACAATTAATGTGAAGTCGATAAAAAAAAAATTTTTAATTAATTAATGTGAAGAAAACAAAAAAAAAAAAACAATTAATTAATGTGAATAAAACAAGAAAAAAAAAAAACTGCATACATCATGTACTGAAGAGAATGAGAGAGAGGGTGTGACTGTGAGTTGGATATGGGTACAAGGCTGGCTGTGGCATATGGAGGAGGAAAAGTAATAGCAAGGATGCCTAGGAATGGATCGGATTGTCACTTTCTTTGGTCAAACCAATCGGGTGACAGTTGCCCCACTTGCCAGATAATACGACCTGCCTTCCTCCTTCTTTTGCCCCGATTAAAAGGTCTTGCTTCTCAATTGCTCACCTCTATCACACTATATATCTCCACCCCTACATGTTCTGAGCTTATCTCAGTCGTCCAATACTCATACCTTTCTCAACCCCTCCATCTTGTGATAGTATTGGAACCTACGTAGTGTAAAAAATATGGACCTATTTGTATAAGAATATCGACTTGGTTGAAGTTGAGAGGAGAATGTGCTTTGGTTGTCATGACCTTGAAACCCTGTTCAATATTACATTGATATCTTTATAGGTACAAGTGTTCACTAACCAGTCATATTTACAGTAAGTAAATTGAATACAATCATGCTATGATTCTGATTACAAATATAAAGGAGAACCCCTACAATTAAGGATGATTGTGATTAGGGTTTGACTTATCTCGATGAAGGCATAAGTGCAGGAGCTGATGGCGTGCGAGTCTTGTCACCCCCTCAAGCGAGACGAAATGTGGTGGAGCTTGCGATTGAGAACAAGAGACTGAAAGTTCATGTGAGAGACCTTTGGTAAACACATCAGCTAGTTGATGAACAAAGGGAAAATAACGAGTGTGAAGAACATTTTGGTTGAGTAACTCGCGGAAAAAGTGATAATTAATTTCAACATGGCGTCTGGGCATGAAAATTGGGATTAGCAGCTTTGGGAAGTGCACATATGTTTTCCGCATGAAGACATGGATGGACACAGAGAGGTATACCAAGTTCCCAAAAAAATAGCAAAACCATCATATTTCAGCAGTTGTAGTAGCTAAGGCATTGTAGTCATATCCCAGGGCTCAATTCCACCATAGCACGATATTGTTCGTTTTGGATCCCCGACCACGCCCTCACAGTTTTGTTTCTGGGAACTCACACGAGAACTTCCCAATGGGTCATCCATCCTGGAATTGTTGTCGCGCGAACTTGCTTAACTTCGGAGTTCCTAGGGAACCCGAAGCTAGTGAGCTCTCAAAAGGCCTCGTGCTAAGTAGAGACGGGAATAAACATATATGGCTTACAGGATCCTCACCCCTGGGCGATGTGGGATCTTACAATCCACCCCCCTTAGGGGTCCGACGTCCTCGTTGGCACACTTTCGGCCAGGGATTGGCTCTGATACCAAATTGTCACATCCCGGCCCGAGCCCCCACCACATCCCCAACTCGACTTCGCTGTAGCACGATATTGTTTGCTTTGGGCCCCGACCACGCCCTCATGGTTTTGTTTCTGGGAACTCACACGAGAACTTCACAATGGGTCACTCATCCTGGAATTGCTCTTGTGCGAACTCGCTTAACTTCAGAGTTCCTACGGAACCCGAAACCAGTGAGCTCCCAAAAGGCTTGTGCTAGGTAGAGATGGGAATATACATATAAGGCTTACAGGATCATCACCCCTGTGCGATGTGAGATCTTACAATTGTTGGAAAATTTAATAATATTATTATTATATTAAATTTATTAATTGAATGGAAATTAGAAGTGGAGCCTTTTGGTAGAAAGATATGTCTACTTAAATGAAGTGTTGCAACTTTTGACTCTTCATGAATAGTCACATGTTTTCCAAAGAGGTATCTCACATTCTATAAACTAGCCTCTCTGCACGCACTAACGTGTGTGCGAGAGGCATTTTTGCATCACGGGCGCTACGCGCCCCAAAGATGTGTTGTTTTAGATATTCTTATATTTCTTAAGTGATTATTTTATAAATTGTGTTTGTGTCCATCACAACAATTTCTTATTATTTTCAATTTTTTATTATGTTCAATCATCTAACTTAGTCTTTTTGCACCTGCCCATTGTACCCAAAAATGAAATTTATGAATGGGATAGTTGATACAGTTAGAGGAGTGAGTACATAATTATGGGTGTGCCATTTTGGGTTGGGACTGAGATGTTCAACATTAAAGCATGGGCCAGGCTACGTAGTTCCAATTGCTTGAGTTGAAGAAAGGTTGGTGAGATAATGGTGTTACCGTACAATCATCCCATCATTCCAAAGTGATAATGGTGTTATCGCATGCCATATTGTCATATTGCTACATTTGTTGAATAATTTAGGAGCATATATTCCATCCAATTTGCACATATGTGAGTAATCTGTCATACATTTTTTACTATTTTTTCTTTAAAACAACAATGAAGATAAAATGGGAAAACATATACTATTTATAAATAAAAAAATATGAAAATATGACATGTAATTTGATTTCTAAATACATATTGACAACATTTAATGTCCTTAAATCAAAATGTTTCAGATTCATAAGTTTTCAATCAAAGTTATAGGCTAGCTAGGGATGAACTCCTAATATATGAAGCAAAGCAAAATATGGACAACATGTACATATGTAAACATAGCGCCTACGTGTGAAATCAAAGCCATACTTGCCACCCATTTGCTTGCACTTGATGCTTTAGATTTTCATGGTTAATCTGCAAGCAATGATGATAAAATAAGAAGTCTAACTATAATGCACAATCCCAACTATAAAGATTGTAAGCAACTTAACCTAAATACCTTTAAGTTTGACAATTTTCTCATGGCAATACTTTTACTCCAGTTACTTGTAGAATACTGAAAGATAAATATATTTGTCAAGTTTGAGGTAACAAATTGTAACCATATTTAAAAAATTAAATAATAAGAAATATTACCTTAATCTTGTACTTCAACTTTTGTACTTTGAGACGGGTGTGATGCTTGTAAAACTGACAAAAAATGCAATTTTATTTATATTTGAAAATTGAATGCAATTTGAATTTATAGTATACGTTTGTATGAAAATAAGAGAAGACTTACCGTATTTAGAAAAGTTGTTTGGCCACTGTTAATCTTTTTTCTGCACCTATAAATTGTTTTATTTTATTTTATAATTTGAGATAATTAATTTGTAGAATGATATAGAGAATGCCATTAAAAATAAATAGGTAATAAATGGTGTTGTACCTTATTTGTTGGACTTTATTCCAAATACGTATGATCTGAGGAGTTGTTGAAGGTTTTAATTCTTCCACAGCCTTTTTCATGCGCCACTTATACATTGAAGGTATATATAATGTTAGATTTCTTGTAACAAATTTGTATATAATTTAGGATACATACTGCTCATGCTTCTTCTTTTTCCACTCTTTGAGAATCAGTTGGCTTAGATCAGTAGTTTTTACTCCGACAGATATCTCCCAACCAGGTGTAAAAATAGAGACACGTCTGTTTGAGATCTTATCAACAGGTTCCTTCTTCATTTTTTGTGGGTATTCTTGTAAATATCCTAAGAATGAAAACAAATAATTTTTAAAATTACCATAGCACACGTATAGCACATTAAGATAATCAAAAGTGAAACTCATAATCTGACCGAAATTTTAAAAAACACACAATGAAGATTTCAAAGGAAGAAGTTAAAAGAACCCATATGAAGCTAAACCTGGATATTCATACAATTACATATTATGCTTACATGAAAATGTGTAAAATGAGTACAACCATGCAGGAAAAAAAGTGAAAAAAAGAAGCTTACACCTAGATTAATTTCCTTTTTACGCCTGGGGAGAGGGAGTGGGAGAAGAATGGCAAAGCAAAAAAGCTGAAAAATTGAAATTAAGAAGAATGATGACTCGGGCGTTGCTTAATACCCGTTTTATCCTACATTGGAGTGTGAGAGTCTGTAAAACCAAGCAACGATTGTTGATAGCAGTTGTATAACTGAGGGGAAAATTAACATTTGAATTTGGATATGGGAAAATAAGTAGGAACGGAAAAAATGGGATTATACGAACGGGGAAGTTAGTGCTTGTATAACATATGTTTTTGAACTCTAATACTGTTCAATGTAAATTTTTGCTTGAAAAACAGACAAAAATGAAGAACAATTGAGCCCAACTCTACAAATTCAATATAGCAAATGATAAGATCAAATCCATTACCTATTCTCTTCACATGAACTACTCCCATTAGTCACAGCACCATCAATGGACTGCATGTTTTGCTGCGGCTCTGGCGCTTTCTTTCTACCAAACTTGGCATCCTAAAAATACAAATAAATTTATTAGTAGAGAAAACAGAAGCAAGCAAAACAAACAAAAGAAAGCAGTACTCTGTAACACAAAGCAAAACCTAAAATTTAAAAGAAAAAACCCAAAACCACTGCTCCCTTTTTGTATTGAAAATTCATTTGCTCTTTTCTTGAAAGCTTTTAGTCGAGTTTATGAGGCCACGTTGTTGAAATTTTGTACCCACTTTTTGCTGGCGGTTTATTTCCTCTCTACAACCGTTCCACTTTGTTTGCAAAGGCACAGACATAGAGGAAATACTGATGTGGGAGTGGGAAGTTATAGGGGAAAAAGCAATGCTATGCGTGCGAAGGAAACGTGGAGGTTTGAATCACACGTTCAATTTTTTTACTTTTTTTTTTTCCTCTTTTATTTATTTTATATTTACGAATTTGACCCTATTTTTGTGAGCAGTTATCCGTGTGCTTTATGTATGAAATGAGGGCATTCTTGGCATTTTGGAAAGCTTCACCAAACTGGGGCTCTCCCTTTATATATATATATATATATATATAGATAAGGAAGCCCCTATAATTACTAAAAGAACTTTTCATTGTTTACATAATCATACATAGAGTGCACTATATATTAGAGAGTCTCGTTGAGTCCATATGTGAGAGTTTTCAACACAATCGTGGTTCATGGAGCCTTGTGATTTGGAGTGCTACTATTACAAGGACGTGGTCGTTGTATCTTGGGAGACATGCGATGATGAACCATGAGCACCGTAGTGGGGCGTAAACTTGTCTTAAGGACAAAGTGTCCAACACTTGCCTCAACCGTATTTTCTAGGTTTTTCTAATTCATTATATCATGTTCATTTAAAATTGGTTACTCATGTGCATGCATTACTTTGACTTATAATTGCATGACTTATTTCTTAATTTTCTATGTAATTTAATATAGCAATTAGACCTAATTTTTCCAACAGCCACAATACTCGGCTTCCGTGCTAGAGCGAGACACCATCTATTGCTTCTTTGATGCCCAAGTGATCAGAATGTTTGGACCAAGAACAATACATGCACCTGTAGTGGATCGTTGATCATCTGGAGAACCAACCCAGTAAGAATTTGAGAAGCCATAGAGAATCAATTGGGATGTTTTATGGAAACGAAGTTCATGTTCAAGGGTCCCTTTGACATAACGGAGAATCCGCTTTGCACTTTGAGGATGTGTAGTGCACGGGAAAGAGATGGACCATGCATGAATTGACACATTTACAAGCCTACTAAAAATATCCACATGAAATCACTTCCTTTCTGTTCTCTCCTTCTTCACATCTATTTTTTTTTTCACTCTCTACGTGGACAATTCCATGCATTGCATGCCATCACCATCTACTCGACTACCTTAGTTCTCAACTTTACATTTGCCACATTTGAAACTAATGAGGTGCTGCTCCTATATATTTATAGGAGAAATAATCGGCAGACACTTCTTCCTCCTTGGATGAAATGGACGGCATATATAAGTACTTAGCTTCACATTGGTTAACCTTTCTCCTTATTTTGACAGCTCCTACTGGTAAATATATGATCACAACTACACTTATGGATTATATTAAAACGTAATGACAACTCCACCTTAATCCTTCCAACTCAAAAGCTAAGTCATAATAGTAATCATGAGGTGTGAATATGCATAGCATATATAATACGTCTCCAACTTGGTAAAATATGCTTACTAAGCACCTAGGTTCATCCTAGTAAAAAAAAATATACACAAATACATACTAAAAATAAGGCATTAAGACACATTTAAATCACATATATTGAATGACGTTTAAGACACGTTTAAATTACATTGGCAACAAAACACATCATTGTAGTGGAGGCTTAGATGTTCAAAACATATGTAAGGCACAAATGTAAGAACATTACCACAAATTACCATTTGCCCGAAGGGATTTCGTCGGACAAATGTGGTCAACATTTTGTTTTTGCAGAAGCTTTGTGTGACAAATGATTTTGATTAGGCAAGTCATGGTTCATCAGGAAACATTTGACATTAAGGGGAAAAAATGGCACGAAAGGTAACGAAATCTTGCCCATCGAACTTGAAAAAGTTCCATCGCACAAAGATTTAATTAGGCTTAATTTGGTTTTAGGGTTTAGGATTTAGGGCGATCGACCTTTTTCAATGAACTTCCATCAAACTGGCACTACGAATTGCTTTAATACCTCTTTTTTCACTACCCAAACCTTACCCTTTCATCAATTTGCACAAGGTTCCCAAGTACCTTATGAAAAATAGCAGCAGCAAAGCAATAGCTATGGTGGAGTCCACAACTAGAAGATGACGATGCTTGGGCCACACGGCTAGTTAGGGGAATGAGGTGCACCTTCAATTATGGAGGTCTAGCGAGTAGTATTGGTGGTAAAACTCAACGGAGTAAGTGTAAGAAGATGAAAGAGTCGAAGACATTTGTGGGGGTTCGCATTAACTATAAGATTTATAATGGTTATATTAGAACTAGTAGTTGAAAGATATAAGGATTGCCGTGAAAAGTACTTGAATAATTTCTCTATGCCAGAGAAGGTTATGACGAAAAATTACTTGGATGTCTGCATGTGGAAAAACATAGAGAGTATACCACATTCATAATAAAAAAAATATCCCAAACAAGTACCACATCCAATCCCTACCATTTGATTCATCTCCACATCTACTTTATAAACACCCATTATTCCTCAAATTTTCAGCTGATTCAAATATACTGTTCCAAAGAAATCTAATTCGTCTATCAAATTTAAAATTTCAACTCACAGCCGCAAATGCCATGAGCCTATGGCAGCCCCTACCCCATCCCACCTTGTTCAAGATAACCCCAGCATTAGGCCTGGCAAATGGATTGTGTCTGTCGTGTTTGTGCCATTTTCGTGTAACACCTGTTATCTTAACGGGTCGTGTCGTGTTACACCCGTTATCTTAACGGGTCCTTAATAGGTCGGATCACTTTACCAAACAGGTAAAGTGACCCGACCCGTTATGACCCGTTAAGAAAAATGTTTTGTTTTCTTAAATTTGCACATACCACACATTGCCACATAAATATTACTTCAAAACATTAAAACACATTTGTTGTTTAAGTACTACATCTACACTTGAAAATAAGAGTCTAATAAACAAACATCCATACACTACTAATCTATTACAAAATATTAAATGTGCAAAATGAAAGAGTTTTTGTTTTCAAGATTGTGAAGCTTTTCTCAAAAGTTTAAACCTTGCCAATGGAACTCAAAGCTTGCATGTTATTCCTTTTACAAAATCCTCAATTTTCATCGATCATCATGACATAAGATTTTGTGGTATCCATTAGTGTAAATATTTTAAATTGAAGATCGAATTCATCTCTGAATGTTTGTTTTTTGCAATTTTTGGCGTATGCGATCTTGAAGTATATACAAAGAAATTTGATGGTTGGATCATTGAAATTATTTTCATAGAATGCGTATCCCATCAAAACGATAGATTCACTAACACTTAGAGTTTATTTATACTTTCATTAAGTATAACATAAGATTTTGTGGTATCTATTAGGGTAAATATTTTAAATTGAAGATCGAATTCATTCATTGTATTCATATAGGGTCAAGAACTGTAGCTGTAAAAAATCATCAAAATTGGAGTTAAAATAACTGTTAAATCGTGATTTTTGGTTGATAACCGTCGAAAAGTTTTGTCTCATTACTTGATCTCTGAATGTTTGTTTTTTGAAATTTTTGGCGTATACGATCTTAAAGTATATACAAACATGTTTGACGGTTGGATCATTGAAACTAGTTTCATAGAAGGCGTATCCCATCAAAACAATAGATTCACTAACACTTAAGAGTTTATTCATAATTTCATTAAGTATAACATAAGATTTTGTGGTATCCACTTGTGTAAATATTTTAAATTGAAGATCGAGTTCAGTCATTGTATTCGTATAGGGTCAAGGAGTGTAGCTGTAAAAAAATCATCAAAATCGAAGTTAAAATAATCGTTAAATCGTGATTTTTCATTGATAACCGTCGAAAGGTTTTGTCCATTTACTTGATATTTGAATGTTTCATTTTTGCGATTTTTAGCGTATACGATCTTGAAGCATATCCAAACAACTTTGACGGTTGGATCGTTGAAATTAATTTCGTAGAATGCGTATCCCATCAAAATGATAGATTAACTAACACTTAAGAGTTTATTCATACTTTCATGAAGTATAATAGAAGATTTTGTAGTATCCACTAGTGTAAATATTTTAAATTGATGATCGAGTTCATTCATTATATTCACATAGGGTCAAGGAGTGTGGCTGTAAAAAATCATCAAAATTGGAGTTAAAATAACCGTTAAATCGTGATTTTTCAATGATAACCGTCGAAAACTTTTGTCCCGTTACTTGATCTCTGAATGTTTGTTTTTTGCAATTTTTGGTGTATGTGATCTCGAAGTAT